GGCAGCGCCTGCCGTCACGTCGGAGATCGTCATGGAGCCCGTGAAGTTTCCCCGACGAGTTACCTTTGATTATGTCGGCAAAAGCGAGGCTCGCCTCGCCTCTCACCAGCTCACGCACGGCGATGACGACGACCATCGCTAAGTTTCGCGTAATTACGGGGATAATTTCAGGGTCGATTACGAAGTTCACTAACTGCGGTTAGGCGATTTTCCCTGTGTCTTTGGAGAGGATAGAGGAGAATACCGGTTAATGGTCAGCATTACCATATGCTAAAGTAACTCGTTCGGAAGATTCGATATTTTTTTGTCATGTTGTTTACTTTATTAAAAAAAAAAATGATTGCGGGTGTTAACTACGATAAAAGTCCGAATATTTTGAAAATAATTTTGGTATTAAATTACAATGAGAGACATCAAAATTCATTTGACTTTCAATAATTGTAAATTATTGTCCTTTATGTTTTTCATTTCATTTTCTTATCGCTTTGCTGTGTACGCGCAGAGTATACTTTTGCAGAGTATGCGAATCAAAATTATTCCTACAAGAAAGATCGAACTTGTATTCCTAGAAAGTCCCTGCAACCGCACTTTAAGTCAGACTCCGATTGCACCTAAAAACGGAATGATGGCCTTTAACGGCGGGTTAAAACGTCTCTCTTTCTCCCGAAGACGCCGGCCTGTCGTATGAAGCCGTCGACGTGATTTCCGCCACGCCTTCGCGCTCATCTCAGCACCGCCATCGCTTTTTCCTAAGTTACCCTCCTCTCTCCTTTTCTTTCTCGATATCGTCGTCGTCGTCGTCGTCGTCGTCGTCGTCGTCGTCGTCGTCGTTGTCGTCGAAGTGGCCGTCGCCCAGGCAGGCTGGCTGGCTGGCTGGCTGGGAATGATGGATACCGCCTGTTTTTCGTTCGTTTCAGCGGGCGGCCGCTCTCGCCAGGAGCTCTCGCCTTTATCCCGCCGCGTTAGCGAGGCTTTCCGCTGATCCTGGAAGCACGAACCGCTCGAAATCGTCCGGAGGTGGAGTCAACACCCCGTGTTGCCTCGCTTTTTCTCCCTGCCTGCCGCGCCTGTCTCTCACTCCCTCGCACTTTACGCCGTCTCGTTTCCTCTTTACATCGCCACCTCTCGCCATCTCCCTTTACCACCCTGCCTCTCTCTAGCTCTCTCTCTATTTCTCTCTCCCGCTCTCGCGCGCACGGAATCGCCTCGTTTCCTCGCTACGGGGTAGATATGTATGCGCGCTCGCGTAATAGCCTCGTTCCTGCCGTGCTCGATGGTAGATACGTGCCGCGTCGCGCCAGCCGAACGCCGCTCCAAGAGTTCAAGCCCGCGCGATAAACGGTGCCGTAGCGCCGCGCAGCGCCGTGAGCCACGCCGAGCCACGCCGAACCGCGTCGTATCGCGCCGCGCCGCGCCGCTCTGAGCCACGCCGCGCCACGCCACGCCGCGCGCAGCCGGGATATTCCGCGCCGCGACGGCACCCGTGGTACAGCCGTTAGCAAAAAGACGACGAGACCGCCGAGCAAGCCCAGAGAGAGATGGAGGGAGGGAGAGAGAGAGAGAGAGCCCGGCCTTTTCCGTCCGTACGTTCCACCGATCGGAAATCGAAGCCGGGATCGAGCCGCCGGGATACCGACGAGATATAGAAGATCCAACGTCAATTAATATCCGCCGTGCGTAATTCGACGGTAATGAAACGACGCGAGCCTTTCGTTACCGGTGATGCGTGGACTTTGTCTAGGATTTATTATTTATCACGAGTTATTATTACGTAGCTTCTGAGGGGGTAGTTTTAGGGGATATTTTGTGGACGGTCGGTACACAGACATTTAGACGAGACCAAGGAGGTACAGAGTTTCCTCTACGTTCGCAAAGATATTGTGAAGGTTTTCTGTATCTTCTTTCAAATTGTGAATGAGTCTTATATATTTCGTCTATGATATTTTTCTAATGTAAATAGCAACGTGGGCTGCTTTTAGCGCTGTGTGCGCTAGAATTTTTAACTTCCATGCACATAAAAAGATAAATATTAGGCGGTTTTTTTTTTTACGCCAACGTTCAGTGACTCCGTGCGAATAGACAACCAATTTTAGCGATTCAAAATCGAAAACATTTATTCTATCGCGCCGCTATAAAAACAACGAACGGAAACGATGGAGAGTATCGAATTCATCAAATTACCTAATTAAAGGCTATCATCGCCAGACAGTCCGAAAAACGCTCACTCGGTGAGGCAAATTAAAAATAAAAAAAAAAAGAAATTTCTCTCGAAAATAAAAAGGTCCCTCTCCCTTCGTATTTCCAGACGCATTGTAGTGTTCGCCGACGATTCTCCTCGCTCGCGGAAGTCGGCGATCGGTCAAGCGTCAAAGAGCAGCCAAGCGTCTTTTGGCGCGACCTGTAAGCGGTCTCAAGCGATGCTCGCACCCGCGGTACCATCGAAAGGAGGAAGAGGAGAAAGAGGAGGAGGGAGAGACAGCGGTAGACACGAAGCGAAGAAAGAGGAAGGAGGCGAGCGAGAGACGGGAAGAGAGCGGGAGCCGCCGCACGGTTATTTATCACGCGCCGCGCGGTTCGCCGATCGTATCCGCCCGTTCCTACCTCTCTCTTTCTCTTTCTCTCTCATCCCTGCCGCTGCCTCGCTCCTTCCACTGACCGATCCTCACATCCCCTTTCCCGTGTGCTATAGCACACGGCGAGCCTTCGTCCCACGGCGATCCGGTCGTCCGAGAGCCCCATTGCGACGAGGGACCAGGAGAGACTCGTTACGAGCGTCCCAGTGTCCCTCTTCCTCCGGAGTCCCCTCGTACTCTCCTTCCTCAACCCTCGAGCAGTGTCGCGTCGTTCCCTCTATCTTCTTCTTCCACTTTCATACTCCTCTCTCTCTCTCTCTCTCCGCCTCTCTTTCTATTTCTATTTCTCTCTCTTTCTCTCCCCACACGTCGCCCGTTCTTCTTTCTCGTATAACTCCCCGGAGGGATCGAGTCCTCTCGCCTCTCGCGCCAAGCACGTATGTATACATAGCGGATACATGCGAGCACGTATATAGTCACGTGCGCACGAACGTGCGCGCGTTCTCGTGGATATGGACGGGGTGGGAAGGCGGGAAGGGGAGAGAAAACGCTCGTGCGGGAAGAGCACAGCTATTCGAGTCTCACGCCGGATATTCGCGAGCACGACCACCGCCGGCGACGTACTTTTATGCTTTTTCTCTCTTTTTTTTCTCTTTCTTTTTCATTTTGTTTCGCTCCGTCCTTATTCCGCCGCACCGGACTCGCGCGCGGCTTCGCGCCGCGTTCTCCGGGTGTTTTCGGGCCAAGTTGTTGCAATAAGAAAGCGCGAGCGCTTGTGATGCCGCTTGGAAAAAATTAAGTAATTGGGGTCCAGGTTTCTGAATTTATGCAGCTTAAGCTGCGAGGTATCCTGCTCGCGCCTCGTATTTCAATAAAAATATATTTAGTGGTACACCTACTCCTTTCCCGGATTCAGAATAAATATGCTAGAAATAAAATTTCTAATTCTTAAGTGTAGCTTCTAAAGATAACGTTTTTCCCTTATTTTTTACTTATGATTCGCAGTTTCTTATGTTTTAAATGTCGTGACTTAAATATCGTAAATAACATCAATGAGATATCGAGTTTCTAACAATAAACGGACAGTATCTTGGTTCACCGTTCACGTGGTGCACTTTTGATCCCGATATTTTCCGACGTTCGCCGGATCGTTGTTAAGGCGACGCGCCGAGCCTCGTCGGAAAATAATTATCGTGGAAGGGATGCCCGCTTTCGATCGCGTCTCCCTGGTTTTTTTTTCTTCTCCTTTCGTTTTCTTCGCTGGTCTGCGCGCTTGGAGACCGAAGAGAGAGAAAAAAAATCGAAGCTTCGCCGTCGGGGAGATCCAGGAAAAAATAATGCCCTTCAGGCAAGTCGGCGGCGAGGGGGGGGGCGGGGGAGAGAGGAGGGTGGAAGGGGGTGGAATTCTCGCCCTGTGCTTAATGCTGCACGGAGGCGTGATGGTTGGCGATTGGAATTAACGACTTGGCGACCGTATTGATTATTCGTCTCCCCCCGGAGCCTTCTTATCTTATCCTTTCCCGCCTACTTTTTCGCTTCCTACCCCACCTTCCTACTCGTCGAGTTTGATGATCCTTCGTTTGTTTCCACGAGACTAACAGCCTCTCTCCCTCCGGGCGAAAATGCCGCGACCATAGTCCTGTCTTAATCTTTCCATTCGAATCATTCCTGGTTGCATCCTCGTCCCGCCCCACCCCGTACCATCCCGCCGTCCTCATCTTTATATTCCGGCTTAAAGGATTCGACCATTCTTCCCTCACTTGCGCTCGCCCGTCTAGCCCTTTCTTACGAATCCATTCTTTCTTTCTTCCGCTTTTATTTGCCGGTCCGCGAAAAGCGACCGACCTGCTGGTAGGCGATTGCGACCGACAATGTCCTCGGGGGGGGGCGAAAGGAAGTTCTGGCAGAAGTCTTCGTCTTCATACTTCTTCATCCTTCATTCGAATTCTTACATGCGTACCTTGATCTTAGCTTTCTAAATTACATTTCTGCGGATAATGTTCTCGAAAAAGTTCTTACGTCTTATTTAGTGGAAGATACTTTTTATTCTTCTCTTAAACCGTACGAAGAAATTCTATTTACATATGTTATTTAAAAAATATCGCAAAGATACTAGGGTAACTGTCCCTATTAGTGTGCTTTTATATTTAAATAAGTAATAAAAATAAACTGATACAAATATATAGACAAAGTATTTGTTTTTATTAAGTTAAAGTATTAATTTTATTTAAAAAATACTTTGTCTATTTATTTGTACCACTTTATTTTTATGACTTATTTAAATGTAAAAGCACACTAATAGGTATAGGACACACTAATAGGGACAGTTACCCTAATTATTTTTTAATCGCTAACACATACACCGCGAAGATTCGACCCGATCTTAAAAAACTCGAGAATAATCGAAAGTCCATCTGTATGTTACAGTCTCGTGCTAGCCAACAATTCCTGCGGGACTATATTCGCGCTCTATCGAGAGACGACGAGGGCGACACGGAGAAATGGAAGGTAAGATTATTCTTGGAAAAGGATCGCGGCGAGGTAGGACGGATGAGCCGGGTCGCTCTGCCGGTCGTTATCAGAGAGGAACTTGCTCATCGTTCTCCCGGGCACTTAACCGGCTACCACTTGCCGAAGGAAAAAAGGTCGGGGATAGAGAAAAATGGACGAGACGAGCGGAAGGTTTGGTCCGGTCGGCCGGAGCCTGAGCTCCCGATATCCTGCGCGCGGCTTGGCATTCGTCTTCGTCATTCTGGGAAGGGAAGCTCGAGAGCCCGAGATCCTACGCGGCGCAACCAAACGTGCGAGAATACTTTTCGCGTCCCCGCATTTCTTTTATATTTTATATAAGAGAGGAAATAATCTCGCGATATTGTTGTTACGCTCAAATTAAAATTTTGCGGAGTTATTCGAAATTAAACGATTTTTGTGTAGAATTTATTATAGAAAATAATATAATAAATTCTACGAATGTCTTCTGATCGGACGTAGAAAGTCAATTCTCTAAAAAAAAAATTAAGTAATTTTCTCTAGCAAAACTACCGGGGAAAAGAAAAGACAAGGCTTAAAAAGACAAAGAGTAAAGCTAAGGCTGCAGGGAGATAAAAACCGATTCGACGTGGATCAATATCGGTTGTTTCTTCGCCGAGACATCGACGCAGTTTCGCGTAGCCGCGCAAATTCTTGACACGTTTACGTAATTCTGTGAGTACACAGACGGTGTCTTGCGCGCGAAAACGAAGGACCGTCGCGCGCGGGAAGGCGCGCTTGTTCCCGGGAATTTCCGTCGCAGAATCCTCGCAAAGGTCGACTCGGAGTCGTCGCCTTCGCTGAGGGAGCAGAAACGAGCTGACGCCCGTGTGCAGGCAAATCCCCCGCAGGATCCTTAATCAGGCCCGACGCCTCGCCGGCACGTAATACGGGATAGAAGCTTCAGCCTCGTTTCCTATCCTCTAACCATCCGCGCTCGAACGAGCCTAATCTCGCCTGTCGGTCGGCTACGACTCGAAATTCTTCGAATCCACGAACTGTCGGCCAAATATCTCAAGATTTTCGTCGATTTATGTATTTAAAGAAATAATTTAATTATTAATTATTCTATTAATCTGAACGACGTTTCGATAAAGAAATTAACATAAAAACCTTACGAGGCTAAATACATGTATTCAACAAAATAGGACTCGCGTGCATAAAAAGAACAGGTTCCGTTCTCGGTTTTCGATTTAACCCGTTAAAATTCATACTGTTCGACCCAACCAGCGTCTCGCTTCGTGCGACGCATGGCATACTAATAGAGACATTTCTTTGCCATATACCAACGGCCATTACGAGGCTCGCGATCCGCAGATTTCCCATCTCGTTTCCCTCGCGAAGACCGACACGGAAGAACTTGCCGTGGATGAAGAGGGGGACGGGGAGATGGAAGGAAAGGCGAGCCACCCCTTGGCTGCCTGCAGGCTCCTTAATCAGGCGCGTCGCGTGGCTGGCACGTAACACGGGATAGGTTCAACCCCACTTCCCGTCCCCGCGTCGACGTCGACGTCGTCGACGACAACGACGACGACGACGACGACGACGACGACGACGACGTCGGTAACCGGTAACCTCATGCCACTCACACCACTACCGCCACACAGCTGTGTCTGTGCGTGTGGCGCGGCAGGGTGGTAAAGTGCCTGCGGTATGGGTCGTGCCATCGGCGACCAGGGGGTTGAGACTACGGGGGATAGGTAGGGTTATGGATCGGAGACTTTGCTTAAGCCGATGCCACCGTCCACCCTTATCCGGCTCGTGGCGTGTCCACGCCGGCCGTGCATTTTTCAACCCTCGCCGCGCGACGAGAATTTTAAGACCAGCCAGAGGGTTGAAGAAATGTTTCGAGGCTGAAAAAGCGTTTCTCGAGCGTTAATGCAGTAACGACCGACAATTATTCGCAACACGCTGCAATCGTATTTTAATTAATTTTTAGATGGATTAAATTTACGTTAATAATAAGATTATGTAATACGCAATCCAAGAAAATGTTCTACAACTGTTTACAATATTAGTGAAATTTTCAAAAATCTCTTTCTAAAAATTACGATTGCACTAACGTTATTTTGACTTTAAGCGAGGCTTAAAATTCTCTCAAGATTTTAAAGAGATTCAGAGTTTTAAGCCTCAAAATAATTAGCAATAAGGCATAAGCAATGCAATTTGATAGACTAAATTTTATGAGATAATATTAGATATATATAAAAAATTACGCATTTCTATTTTTAACACTTAATGACAGCTTCAATTAGTTGGAATTTAACAGAGTACAATAAAGAAATCTAAAATATTTTTCATAATGATGAACCTCTAATGATGAACTCTACGAACAATATACGATAATTTGAAAATACTCTAACATTCAATAAATATGCGAAACATTGAATTTTGTTCGGGAATTCGAATCTATGAAATTTTATCCAACACGCGACTGCAACTAAAAATGTCTAACGTTGAGAAGTAGCTAACTTTATCGGCTGGCATTATGTCTGCTCATAAAGCCTACCTACTACTTGTATGGCAGCCTAAGGAAATCGTCATCACTTATTCCGAAAGTTTCGACTTTAACCCGAACCGAGAAAAAACGAGAAGCGACGTTAATTCCCCTCTGCCTCCGTTAGCGACGTCGCGACATTGCATCCTGCAACCCGTGTATCCCGACCGTGCTGGGGAGATCACCTTGGCGAACGAGCCACCGCCGAGGCTGCGGCAGTACCGCGTCGAAGCCACGACGGTAACTCCTGATTATCCCTCGGTCTCGGATTTCGACCGGGACTTCCTGGGCTTATCGAGCCGTAGCCAATGGTCGTCGATGCTGCATCGCACGGTATCATCGATCCAGGGTTCGAAAGCAGATATCAGACCGGCGTATCAGCCGCCGGCGCCCTTCCCCTCGCCGTCCCCTACCCACCGCGTCGCACCCGCGTCGTTCCCTGGTCCCTGCCACTCGAGGATTACGGCGTTGGGACCTTTCGAGTCCTCGAGTATTATCGAGCTCGACACGGAGCCGCGCGCCGAGGTGTTCGCCGCACACTCTCATCCGCCCTTCTCTCTCTCTCTCTCTCTCTCATATCCCTTGCTACTGTCGCCTCTCATGCACCTCGATCTACTCCACCTTGACTCTGCCTCTCCGCTCATCATCGGCACGAACTTTCGCAGCTCTCGTATCGAGACTCCTTCAAAAAACCACACGTGCGTCAGACCACCACATTCTCCACCTGTCCGCGTTCTCTGGTTCCCTGCACGTATCTATATTCTTACCTTTTTGCTGTTTCCTGCTATTTTTTAAGTTTTTTTATGTTAGTCTATTTTGTTTGCAATATCAACCTGTTCATCGTGATTTTTTCTACCTCAGAATACTTGCCTGTAGTATATTATTTTGTCATTATTTAAACATTTGTCTTGATTCAATGCCGATTATATCGATGGTCAAGTTTAACAAGCTTGATCAATCGCTTATTCTAGTTTTTATTGTTTGAAGAAATATAAAGATAGAATTTAAAGTTAAACTTTTTGTGAAAATCTTTAAATTTTTAAATGATAACATAAGTATCGATGCTTTGATATTAAAACAATTACAATTTTTTCTTTCAATCCACAATTTCCGCCATTAAAAATAAACTCTTACGAGTTCTCGGCATCTAATAAATAATAATGCTCGATATAAAAAAAACTTGAGTTAAAACATGAAATAGATCTCCTACACTCTGCTTTTTTCCTTTCCCCTATTTCTTTCCTCAATTTTCCTCGACTCAGTCTATTTCCTGTTCCACTTTCTTCTCTTTCCGCCTCCCCTCTCTCTCTCTCTCTCTCTCTCTTTCTCTCTCTTCTCGCTTGTCACGGCATCACGTCATACCGCAGTCCCGCTGCCTGCCACCTCCATCAAACTGCCGGCGCCTCCAGCAGCGGCAGACAGCCGCTACGCGCGCACGTGAGCGTATCGACACTCGCACGCGTGCAGCAGATACACATACATACACGCACGTGCGCCTGCGCGCGCACACATGTACATATGCGCACACAGACACGGCACGTCTCCGCGTCAGGTCGGCATACAGATGGATACGGATGTCACGGCAGTAGCGCGGTTCTCCACTCACCGTCCTCTCCGTTCTCCCCTAGCCCCTTACTCCCGGGCTCCGGCACGCACTCCGCTTGATTCACTCTTTTTCTCCTTCCCTCTCGCGCCAGCCCGCCATCTCCTTTCAGGGATGTCGGTGGTGAGATGGCGAGGAAGAGAGAGAGAGAGAGAGAGAGAGAGAGAGAGAGAGGCAGGAGAGAAAGAGAAAGAGAAGCGAGCAACCGCACGAACTGAGGCATCGTATCCCTCACGCCCTGTATACGAGGTGTCCTAAGTATCACGGATTTTTACCCGGCTATAGATTCTCCGTGGAAAATTGTTGCGATTTCATCTGAAGATTGGATTCGATTGGATCTCGAATTTATATCTCGCTCGCGAAAGGTTTATTTGAACTTTTATATACGATTCTCTATTCCTGAAATTCAGTTTACCTAAATTTCTAAATTTTTCGATTTTCCATGTCTTCACGTTAAAGTATATCGTACATACATCGTTCTTAAGTCAATCTATGTATGTAGTTAAAAGAAAATACGTGATTTTTGAGACACCCCGTACGTTATTGCTCCATGGCCCCAACCCCGTTTTCCACGCTGGGCGGCACTCGCCGTCTCTTTCGCCAGCTCTTCCTTTCGCGCCGCTGTTGGCGAAACGATATATCGGGTAAACCCGTGAAAAAAGAAGTTTTGGATGTACGCTCAAACGCAATTTCTTTCTAAGTATGAAAAGCAGCGTTCTAAGAAATCAAGTTATTAGGAGCTTGAATTTACAGATATGTATAATATAAACCAACATAATATAAAGCAACAACATTTTTCCGTTCTTTTTTCTAATTACTTCAAAAGTTTTTTACCTTCTGTAAGTTCAACAATTCTCGAAAATCTCGAATGCCGAAACT